AAGTAAGTAAAAATAATTTAAACTCTTCCTCTGACATAAGCTCTGTTGGCATTTTAGGGTGTGTTTGCCTAGACTTTAATGAAGCCGTTATACTCCACATGCATTTTTTTCTTAATAGGATTTTACTGGTATTTTTTTTTTTTTTTTTTTTTTTTTAGAAATTTTCATTAGGATAAAATTCACATAACCATTTTAAAATGAATAATTCACTGGCATTTGGGCAGCCACCACCTTTCTCTAGTTCCAAGACATTTCCATCACCCCCAAGGGAGATCCCAGGCCCATTAAGCAGTCACTCCACACTCCCCTGGCAACCACTTATCTGCTTTCTGTCTCTCTGCATTTGTCTGTTTGAGACACCCTATATAATAAAAGCCTAATATCCTAAGTGTCCAGTCGTCCGATGACCGATCAACGGTTCAACCAATCAAAGTGTAATATGCAAATGATATGCTAAATCCACTCAACTGCTAGCTATGATGTGCACTGACTACCAGGGGGCAGATGCTCCAACTGGTAGGTTAGCTTGCTGCTGGGGTTTTGCCCATCGGGACTGAGGGAGATGGGCCAGACATGCCCTGGAGCCCTCCTATGGTCCCTCCCCAGCCCTGATTATGTACCGGTGGGGTCCCTCGGCCTGGCCTGTGCCCTCTGGCAATCTGGGACCCCTTGGGGGATGTCAGAGAGCTGGTTTCAGCCTGATCCCGCCAGCCACTTCCCTTGGGAGGGCGCCAGATACAGGGCTCATGGCTGGCAAGCACTGCTATAGTGACGATCCTCTTCCAATTGGGACTGATGAAGCGTAACCTATCATGTTCCAGTGGGGTCAAAATGAGCAGAAGCAACAGGTGGGAGCTGCAGGCAGCATTGAACTGCGGGTTTCGCCCGATCCTCACAGGCCACACTGAGAGACCCCGCCATGCACAAGTTTGTGCACCAGGCCTCTAGTTTCCTATAAAGGGAATCACATAGAGCATGGAATTGTGTCTGGCTTATTCTTACTGTTTTGTACTTTGTGGTTTCAATGAACATATATGGTGCGTTAATATGGTAGATCTGTGTCCCCTTTCCAAAGGCTGCTATGGTGCTCCAAGGTACAGATGTGCCATTTTCTATTTATCCAGCCTCCTTTGGAGGACACAGGGAATCAGATTTAGACTAGCAGCATTGGGCTTCCTACCAACGGAGCCAGAGCTGACACTTTCCTAACTTACTTGCCTAATAGCAGCACATCACAGGGGCCTCCAACACCATCTCCCCTAGGAGGGGAAAGTAGGCCCCAGGCCATTGGCCTGAAGAGAGTCATGTATATCCCAGGAAAGTGCCCACTGTAAATGTGTCCCACAGCTGCTTGATAAGGGACCTGCTACACCGTCCCTTAGTGGGAACGGAAATAACCGATGAAGATCCCGGTGATGGAAAGGTGAGCTGCCATTTGGCCAGGGGGGTCTGACCTGCTATTATTTTACTTAGACTCAGCGGCAGTGGAGAGGTTGGCAGGCTAGGACTGCAGAGAGTGTAGGTGCCTGGGACACAGGTGGGAACAAAACCAAGTCCAGTATAAGGGGAGAAAACCAAGAACCAGATGAGTCTGTCTGTCACCGTGCTCCCATGGTGATCAGGGGTTTGGAGCTACTTCAAGGCCAGAACCAGGCAGGGAACTTGGGAGAGAGGCCCAGCTCATGCGAAGGCCCAGCTGTGGGATGAGCTTATCGTGTTCCAGGGGCCTCACAGAGGCCGGGGCACTGGACAGGAATGAGCAAGGGCAGAGTGGTCAGAGACGTGGAAGGGTTGGGGGGGCAGCTCAGGTCTGATCTTAACACCACCCTCCCCTGGGGGCTGGGGAGCCACTGAAGGGTGATCTATTTATTTCCTTGATGAAAGTCCATTCTTTCCCAGAACTCCAGAAAACATCCTTTGTTTAGGATCGTCTTTGAATATCACCTTGCAGAACATGAAATATTTTCCCAAGCATGTCATCCTTTCATCTGGGCCCCTTGGGGAAATCAGTCCTTTATCACCCACCGCCATCTGTTGTCTCCAAGGCTCCATCTAAATAACTCCCGCGCGAGATGTGACTTCTAAGGCACGTATCTCTTTTGTTCTCTCTGAATCCTGTGAAACGTCTGAACTTTCCTCTGGGAGTAGAGCACATCTAAAATTGATCTCTCTACACCCCTACGGTTGGGGGTGTCATTAGGGGAGTCGGCGAGATAGAAGAAAAAAAGAGAAGAGGCAAGATACAAAATGGCATATGCCATCTGATCTCAACTAAAAAGACAGAAGGTCAAGGATGCCTACACATCCTTCCCACACAGCTATTGTGGTGGCTGCAAACTCCGTGCGCTACTCCTAAGGTCCTGTAGAGGGCGTCGAAGGTGGGTGGAAAGTATTTCATTTCTTATCTCCAGTTTCTGTTAAATTTCATAAATGAGGCTTTGATATAAAAACAGGCTAAGTGGAGAAACCCACCGGCTCCTCCAGACCATGCACTCTCAGCACCCCCCGAAGGAGGCCCGGGCAGTTGTCACATTCAATCAGGATTTAAAAGGTGGGACCCTGACATGCATCCAATGTCGTTAATTCTGAAGAAAATGAATTAAGAGCTAATGGTGTGGGATTATGCCCCCTGCGTGCAGCTTGGAAGTTATTCACAATGGCACTTGGAATTAGGGGGCCTGGGCCAGGCAGGGCAGAGTGAAAAGGCTGAACCAGGAGACAGAAGTCCCATGCTCCCATCTTCCCTTTGTTCTTGGGAAGAACCACCAATCGCGTGAAACCTTCCACTCCTTGCCTGCACGTGTTGGCTTTGTGCTCATTTTTACTTTTCACAAATTTAATAACCTATATTAGGAAGAAAAGATGAATTCTCTGGGTGAAGCTGGGCTGGGGACCAGAGACCAACTCTGCCCAGGCTCTTTGGAGAGTGGGGATGGGGCTGAGGAGTCCTGGGAGGAAGTTTGAAAAACACTAGTCCTTGTAAATTACACCAATTCCAAGATGCTCCTCCTCTGGGCCTACTCTCGGCGGCCTGACGCCCTCTACAGGACATTTGGAGTAGCGCATGGGGTTTGCAGCCACCACAATAGCTGTGTGGGAAGGATATGTAGGCATCCTCGACCTTCTGCCTTTTTAGTAGAGATCAGATGGCATATGCCATTTTGTATCTTGCCTTCTCTCTCTCTCTCTCTCTCTCTCTCTCTCTCTCTCTCTCTCTCTCTCTCTCTCTCTCTTTCTCATAAGTATTTTTCCTGTCATTAACAATTCTTCATAAGTACTTCTAAAGCTTTGTCTTCTTTAAATTGAAAAATATAACATGTGCATGGCAAAACTCTTTGGCACTAGTTATAAACATAATAAAATAGTGAGCAATGAGGAGAAATCTCTCTTGGCTTCAGAATCTAATTCTTCTCTCTAAAGGCAATCCTTGATAACAGTTTCTTGTGTATTCTTGTATCTCCTTCCAAAAAAATATTCCAGTTCTATATATATATAAAGGCTAATATGCAAAGTGTTCCCTTGAAAGTTAGACCTGGAGACTGGAAGTTCAATTGCTTGCTATGATGTGTGCTGACCACCAGGGGGCGGCACGGAATGAAGGCAGGCCCCAGCCAGCAGCCAGCAGCTGGGGAAGGGAGGCCCTAGCCAGCAGCTGGAAGGCCCTGATCAGCTCTGATTGCTGGCCAGGACTAGGGGCCCTACCTGTGTGCAAATTTTGTGCACTGGGCCTCTAGTACAAATATATACATAGTACATGTGTGCATATGTATATTTGAAAACATAGTTAGGTGCATAGCAAACAAACTGTTCTTTACCTTAATTTCTTCATGAACCACAATGACATGGTGATCTTTCATAAGCAGATTACGGGCAGGTTTTGACAGCTACATGCTACTCCAGTGTGCAGACAGGTGTTATTTACTTGGACAGTACAGGGGGTGGGATTTTGAAATATGTGTGCAGGGAAACGAGGAGGTTTATAAGTAGGAATGTAAATGACAGGAGCAGTTTTGGCATAGGCCAGGGGGCAGGGCAAGCCAGTGTGTTTCTTCTCAATGAATCTGTTCTATATCTAACTGTGTGTGTGTGTGTGTGTGTGTGTATGTGTGTGTGTGTGTAGGGATGTATAAGATCTGCCCTCCACACACCCCACTTTCAAATCCAGAAGCAGGACAGTGTTCCTGGTATGGACGGGGTCAGAGAGGCCCAGGGGGAATTGCATGGTGTGACAAACTCCCCCAACCTCCCCTCTAACTGTTTATTTTATTAGTCACGTGCCTGCATGTCCTACAGGCTAAGCTATGTGTCTTTTAACTTTCATCGAAACATAGTAAAGCCAAAAGGCCCAAAGAATCGTGTGCCCAGCTCCGCAGATCTGCACCACGTGGCCCGGCAAGAAGCAGAGCAGGGCGGGCCTCCGGGGACCCTGAGCTCTCCCAGCCACCAACCACGAAGTGGCCGCTCACTGGCTTCTCTCACTGGACAACACTTTTGCCTCTTTTTGAACTAGAATATAAACAGATCGTGTGTTCTCTTGTAAGCTGGCTTTTTAAAAACAGTCAGTATTATGTTTGTGAGATTTACCCAAGTTGTATGAATTTATCCATTCTGCGTATGAATTGCAAATTCCTAAAGCCCCCTATGGATTATAAGATATATGTGCATATAGATATATGTATGTGTGTGTACGTTTTATATGTATATATACACACATATATACCCTGTTATATATACATGTTTAAAATGAATGTGATGTATATGTGTATATATATATTAGGATAGATGCTTAACGTACAAACTGGTCACATTCGTTTATCCTTTTTGCTGATGATGGATCGGCTTGCCCTCCTCTCAGTTGGGGGCTATTACAAAGAGAAACATGGTTAATCCTCAAGCAACCCACCCCTGCTGCTTCTGCTGTGCTTACAGGAAAAACTCAGAAGCTCAGAGAGGCCCAGCGGCTTGCCCTGGGCACCATTGACACCGCCCTCTCCCCGCAGGCCCAGGAGGCTGATGGCCCCGGGCAGCCCCGCGCGGACCGCTGCCCGCCACCCTCGCGCTCGCTGCCCCCCGGAGCCTGCGAGGTGGAGCCCTGCCAAGCGCACACCCAGTGCCGGCAGCGCCAGCGCTGCTGCCATAACGGCTGCGCCTACGCCTGCCTGGAGGCCGTGCCGCCCCCGCCAGGTAGGCGCCCCCGGGCTGGGGCCATGGGGAGGCGGCGGGTGGGGGTGGGCGAGGGAGGAGGGAGGGCACCAGGTGAACTGTCCCTCCAGGCCCTGCCCCGAGGTGGAGCTGGGAGGAACGCAGGTGGATGTGCCCATCTGTGAAGGGGGAAGGCTGCGGCTCGCTGGGCCAGCTCCAAGCTGAGCGCATTGCCCTCGGGGAGCTCCAGTGCGGAGAGGAAACGTGTGCTCCGGGGGAAATGACCCTCCTGTGAAGATGGGGGAGATCTCTCCTTAAAAGACTGGACTAGCCAAAACCGTTTGGCTCAGTGGATAGAGTGTCAGCCTGCGGACTGCAAGGTCCCTGGTTCGATTCCCGTCAAGGGCATGTACCTTGGTTGGGGTTGCGGGCACATCCCCAGGAGGGGGTGTGTGCAAGAGGCAGCAGATCGATGTCTCTCTCTCTCATTGATGTTTCTAACTCTCTATCCCTCTCTCTTCCTCTCTGAAAAAAAAATAAAATAAGACTGGCCGCCTCCCCTGGGCCACGGGCTGCTGGAGCCTCGTGTGCCCATAGGTGGCAAGGGGGCCCTCAGTTCTCCACGGACCCACCAGGTCCCTTTCCCTCACATGCCTGGCCCCGGGGGCATTTGAGATGGAGACCTGGGGCTTTCGAAGGCCAGGTGGGGTGCCCAGAGAGGCAGGGGGGTGCAGACTCCTGGGTTTAAATTCACGGGCTGGCTGGTGGCCTCCTTAGACCTCTCCCCTCCCCCAAACACAAGGAGAACGGGACTGAAGTGAGAAAGGGCAGCTTATGGCGGGCCTGACCATTCGAAAGGGCTGGGCCCCCGCAGGGCTAGGAGCAGGCCACCAGTAGCGCGTGTAATCTTAAGCAGAGTCCCTTTGGGAGGAGCAGTTCTCAGAGATTCAGCTTTGGAAGGAAGGAGTTTCAGATTCCTTCTGGAGAGAAGGTTTAGGACAGGATGGAAGGGAGCCCGTGGGGAACACTGAGCAGCTGGGGGCAGGGGGAGGAGATGGGCAGCTGGGGGCGGGGGGGCGGTGGGAGGAGATGGACAGTTACCCACCTCTGGATGGAGAAAACGTGTCCCTAATTGGTTACGGGGACAGCAAAGTCTCCACTCCCAGTTCTGCTTGGACAGCACCTGAGGGTTCCATGGGCTTCAATTACTGAAGGTGGCTCAGAGGTTAGCCCCAACCTCTCCCCTCCTCCCAAGGCCAAAGCTACAGCGACCACAGTCCCCCTCTCCCCCCAACCCCCCTTTGGAGTGAGATCACAGCCCTTCAAGATGCTCTTAATCACAGTCTCCAGAGCGTCTGAGCACTTCCTCTGGTTCAGAGACTGGGCAGGCACTCAGGACCAGAAGGCTCCTACTAGGCCCTTTATAAGAAAGACGACATGGCGCCCCCTCCTGGTGGAAGAAGCAGGTGTGGAAGTAAAAGACGCTGCCCCTTCCTGAGGATTGCGGATTCGACAGGGCTCAGGATTCTAGCCTCACCGCCGTCCAGGCCAGCTGCTTCCCGCAGTGCACAAGCTGTACAACTGGCCCTGACATTCCCGGCGGCCTTTCCATACACCATCTCCTGCAGTTTTATGCTCACGCAGTCCCGGGAGGTGGAGAGACTCTTGTCAGCTCTATTTTACCTTCGAAGACACTGAAGCTCAGAGGAGCCCAGCCGCCTGCAGAGGTCGTACAGCAGACAGAGCTAGAGTTTCAGCCAGTCTCCCGTGAGGTGTCCACTGCCTTAGGCCCCAAGTGCAGGGTTGTGGGGCCCCTGGCTCAGTACCTGGCTCGTATGCAGGCCCCTCACTGCCTGAAACACCCCAATCCCAGACACCCTGGAGGAGGCTCACTTCCCCTTTCCGCCAGAGGAGGCCACTTTATCTGGGAAGATCCCCTCTCTGCATAGCAGTCCCTCCTCCAGCCATCCCTTACCCTCTTTACCTGCTTCAGTTTTCCTTACAGTCCACTCCGAATACTGTGTTTTACTTATGTGTTCACTGACTGTTCCCCCCATGTGAAGGTCAGACCCCCAAGGAGAATTTGGTCTATTTTATTCACTACTATATCCCCCACCATCTAGAACAGTCTCTGGGCTCCTGAAAGTTATTCAATGAATCTATGGTTCATAAAGTAATAAAATGACTAGTTTCCACTGGCCAGCAGAAAGAGACATTAGTAAGCCGTAATAACAATGGCAATGATATTTAACACAAGGTTCCTCCCCTTTGGCACTCCTAGGAGTTAGATAATTCGACTTGAGGTTGTGTTGGGGGCTGACCTGGGCACTGTAGGCTAGTGAGCAGCATTCCTGGCCTCTCTCCATTAGATGCCAATACTACCCCCACTCCACATCGTGACAACCAAAAATATCTCCAGACTTCGCTGAATGTTCCGTGGAGAACAAAATTGCTTTGGACTGAGAACCACGATCTTACACGAGCAGATGACTTGGAGTGTATTGGGCCCTATTCTGAGCAGCTTACACACTTCATTGCATTCCCCGGGGGGGTGGGGGGGGGGGGGGGGTGGAGAGGCTGTTTTCAAAAGCGAATCTTGAGATAAGGGCTGGGGTACAGGGAGTTTAGGTAGCAGGTGACCCCAGGGAGTTCCAGTGAAGGAGCAGAGAGGTGAGCCTGTGGGCCTTCAGGCCTTTGAGAGTCTGCAAATGGATGGCAGGCCTTCACCGAGTTTCAGGATTCCAAAAAGTGTAGCAACATGTGCACAGTTCTCTGCTGCAAGGCAGAGGAGAATACAAACAGTAAATATCGATAAGTTTCCTATTGGTAAAAGATAGCATTGAAAACATTTTCTATTGTGTGGTGGAAAGAAGAAGGGGGAAACCAGAAGATTGGAAATAGTGGCTGCAGAATGTCATCATGCCATTCCTCTTGTTTGGAAATTGCAAATTATGGGTTTGTTCCCCTGCTGTTTCAATTTCCATGCTATGGGATGATCCAGCATTTTTACTAATACCCATCTATGCACTTTCAAAGGCGCTAGACAGCACATGAACCGCTTTAATTTGGTCATGTTTCTGATTCTGACTAAAGCAGAGGTCAGAAGCAAATGTGATCTCAGACCAATTTCATTTGCTCTCCAAAGAGCTTTAAAATTTTTAAATTACTTGCCGAGACCGGTTTGGCTCAATGGATAGTGTCGGCTTGGGGACTGAAGGGTCCCGGGTTCGATTCTGGTCAAGGGCATGTACCTTGGTTGCCGGCATATCCCCAGTAGGGGTGTGCAAGAGGCAGCTGATCGATGACTCTCTCTCATCAATGTTTCTAACTCTCTCTCTCCCTTCCTCTCAGTAAAAAATCAATAAAATTTATAAATAAATAAATAAATAAATAAATAAAATAAAATAAAAATTTTAAATTACTTGTTGCCAAACATTTAAATAACAGAAAATTCATATTAGTTAGATTTATAGCTTAAAACAAAAATCAGCTCTGGAAACACTGGGAACGGCTGGCCAAAGCTGACCAACAGCTGACCCAATGAGGCAGAAACCCTCCCTAGTTTGCCATATCTGTTTGTCCCACCTGGCCCGATTTCCTCCTTTATATTATCTACCTGCCTCCGGGAGGTATTTGGGCTTTCAACCCCTGCTTTGGATATTTGAAGACCTTTCAGTCTACTACGTGGGTCACTCTTCTGGTTAAAAATGTACTGGTTATAGAACAAACTGTGCTGCTGTAACAAAAAGACCCAGAACTCAGGGGCCCAACCAATGAGGCGTTTACTTCTCCCTCAATTAATAGGCCAGAGGTAGACAGATGGTTCGTGGTAGCCAGGTGGCTTTGTTCCACAGTCATCCAAGGATCCAGGTTCCCTCCATCTTGTTGCTCCACAAGATCATAGTGGCTCCCAGCCTGTGGGAAGAGGGAGAGAGAAACGAAGGGGAGAAAACAGGCATAGAATGCAAGGGCAAGACCACAAGTTACATCACCACTTCTGCTCACATTCCATTGGCCAGAACTCAGTCACATGGCCACACCTAGTTGCAAGAGAGGCTGGGAAATGTAGTCTCCAGCTAAGCCACACAGTGGCCAGCCAAAACTCAAAGTTCTGTTACTAAAAGGAAAGGGCAATGCTAGAGAACCACCATTGTTTCCCCCCCAGGGGCTGGGGCATTTCTCAGCTGCCTGCGGAGGGCCTCAATTTAACCACGTGTTATTTTGTTAGTTGTAGATTGGCTGGTAGAGCCGAAACCTCGATGGCTTGGTGGCAACGGCTGGCTCCTGGATGGCCCCAAGGAGGTGTTACAAGGTACTTACAGGATCAAGCCCAGACCTGACGTCATAGCCAGGATCCCCCCTTTCAAGCTGCCACCAGAATACTGATAATAGGGGCTGCCTCTGCTCCAGCACACTGCCTGCCCCCCAATACTCAGACCTCTTAGAGCCTCTCCCAGCACAGGGGGAGGATGGTGAGGGTATTGGCCAGGCTCTCAGCATCCCCAGGACAATACAGAGTTTGACTCTCCCTGGGAATGGGGCCCCCTTCCTGGTGGAGAATTGAGGGGGAGGGTGCTTGGGGCTGGTTTACAGATCCCTAAACTCCGAGTAAGGGGATTGCTGCCTCCTGATGATGGGAGCAATGATGATGGGAACCACCCAGGGCCTAGAGAGCTGTAGGGTTCAAGTGTGTACCCTTCATGTATGTCATGTGCTTGTGATTCTGCACACTTCTCTGTGTGTGACTGTGTCCGCGAGAGTATGCCGCTGTGCAAGAAACCCGCTGTGTATGTCTGAATATTTGTGCATCTGTGTTCATGTAAATGTGTGTAACTGTAAGTGTGAATGTGTGTGTGCGTGCAGAATTTGTGTGCATGTGAACATATGTGCGGATGGTTGTATGTGTAGTGTATATATGTGTGTTGGGACTTGTGGGGGTGGTGAAAATGTGTGTGTGATGTGTGAGTGTATGTGTCAGGATTTTTGTGTGTGAATATGTGTGTACACATGTGACTATAAGCATGAGCATATGTGTTTCAGAGTGTCTGAGTGAACATATGTTTGGGCACGTGATGTGACTTTGAACTGAGATTTGGGGGCAGGCAGTGTGCTGGAGCAGCTCCCTGTGTGTGTATGAGTGCATCTGTACATATGTGCATGTGCACACATGACACTGAGTGAAAACCAAGGCTCAGCCTGGAACCCGGGGCACAGTCGAGAGGTGCCCCTCTGGATACCGTGTTCACTGTGCTCACTGCCTCCGTGGCATGTGTCCTTCCGCAGCGGAGACCTGCAGCACCACAGAGGACGGGGCGGAGCCACTCCTCTGTCCCTCAGGCTACGAGTGCCGCATCCTGAGCCCGGGTGACATGGCCAAGGGCATCCCCAACCGCGGGGAGTGTGTCAAGCAGGGCCCAGCAGGTGAGTGTGGGTGCCCAAGCCCCGCCCAACTCACCCTCCTATAACCACCACATATCGGAGCCTGGCTGAGGGCTCTTTCTGTCCTACCAGCCTGGCCTCCCTTTCAAATCTCCCATCCTCTCCCCCGCGCCAGCCTCGCCGCCTTCCAGCTGGCTGACCATGGGCTCAAGTGCTCAGTCTCTGAGCCTCGGGTTCCTTGTGTGTAAAATGGGGCCACTTCATGTTATTATGAGGGTTCATTTGCATCCTACATAAAGGCCTCACTAAACATCTGAGATTTTATATCCATCTGTGTGTCTATGTTTTGAATTAACTGAGAACCCTCATTTGATATGGCTTAATTAGCCTGTCTTTGGGGAGGAAGGCTGTAAGTAGATCGGTGAGGAGTATGAATAGCATCACTTTAGTTTGCATAATTTTCCCAAGAGCGGAAGGACTAGGTGGTAGTACCTAAAACCCACATGTGCCTCATGCAAGACGGTCAAGAGGTTTGGTGTGGATTTGGAAGAAATGTGTGGCAAGTGAAGGATCTGGAACTTCGGGGAGATGTAGGGCAGCTTCATCAAAGGTGAGCTCATTGGAGCCTCGAGTCCACACACTCTAAGGCCCAGGTCCCCACTTCTGCCCTGAGTCAAGATCAAGGATAATTACAGTGACCTTGCTGGCCAAAAGAATATATCAGAGCGCATGGTAGGCCAAAGCTTTTTTCTTTTCTTTTCCCCCTGATTTGAGAAATTTATTTCTCTCAAGTGTTTTGAGAAAGACATACACATGAAATCAATTGCACATGTAGCGTCATTAAAACTGCAAATAAGAAAATGATGAGACTTTAGAACTGTTTTTTGAGAATCCTGATCGCCGGAATTCTGAGCTTTGAAGCAAATGGAACCGATTAGGCTTAATTGTGATTTCTCCAACATTCTGCTTGCTGTTTGGGTTACTAGCAGGCTCCCCCGCACACCAGGCAGCTTGGGATTCCCGTGGCCACCGGCCCCTCTCTGCTGTGTGTCCCAAATAGAACCTTCCAGGCCCCATTTTCCTTATCTGTACAATGGGCTTTCATGGCTAAGCGGCCATGCCTCTTGCTTCAAAGCACAGAATAGAAACTTTAGACACCGAAATCAGACCTCAGGAAAACGGGGTATGCGGTCCTCCAAATGCAAAGCCCCGAGGGCAGGCCGGCCTGTCGGAACATGCCGGACTAGGAGAGCAGCAGCCTTTATCAAAGGCTGCGGAGTGAGTCAGGAGTCCTTTGGACTGTAATGTCATTTTTCATAACTGGAAAGGCCTGGAACCATTCCACCCTTATCATCCCCCGATCTTGCTCATTTTGTCATATGAAAGCCACTTCAAGGCCAGAGATAAGCAAGGAAACCATGAAATGATGCCTGTGGTGGATGTAGTGCCTCAGAGATACCGCCTTTACTTGTTAGCTCAGGCCTGCGGAAGGAGGGATGTGACCAGACGGCGGTGTCATGTAGGCTCAGAGTGCAGGCTCAGGGCCACTGAAATGTGTTCAAACCCTACGGCTTTCTTCCCTGGTGACCTTGGGTAGGTAACCTAACCTTTCCTAGCCTCAGGTTTTTTCACTTGTAAAAGGAGGTAGTGATGGTCATGATAGTAATTGCTTCCTGGGGTAGTGATAAGCTTGAAAGGCCTGTAGAGCAGCGCCTGACACATAGTAGGCCCTCAGGGAATGTATGCCACTATCTCTCCGTCTTATGGAAAAGGGAGGACAAGTTCAAGACCTTGCCCAGTCAGTGCATACAGCTAACAAGGAGCAGAGTGGGAATTTGGAGCCTGTTCACCTGCTTCAAAGCCTGTGGGGTGTGTGTGTGTGTGTGTGTGTGTGTGTGTGTGTCCTCCCCTCCACAGGAAGATCTGAGCCTTGCAGGTAGGAATGCAAATGAAATCTCTACACTTGGCCCCGGGGGATTGCCACTTAACTAGAATTGCTGGTGCTTTTGGGGAGTTTGAAACCACCCTGAATTCCCACAACTTTCCTTGGAGCAAAGGTCTCAGGGGGGAGAGGGGCGCTGTTGAACCAGAGTGATCAGGGCAGAAGCCTTTTATTTTTTTAAAAACTACATATTTTAGACTAACTTTAGAAAGTAAGAAGAATAGTACCTTGGACCTTCTGACAAGTGACTTGGCCAGCTGTGGCGTGAGCAGGCATGACCAGCCAAAACTCATCCCAGGGAGAGGCGGGAGCAGGAATGTTACAGAGAGCCTCGGGCCTGGAAAAGGTCCTGGAACCTGGCTTAAGGCAGATAAACTATCCACCCCAGTATGCGGGCTGCCTGCCTCAGCCCCTGGTGCCTGTACAAGAGCTGTCAGAGCTGGTCCCAAACACTCAGATGGTTTTTAGGGTGACCACAGCACAAAAGGAAACAAAATGCCCAGCGAGGCAGAAGGCGATTTTTGAATTGATAGGTAATTGACATAGAGCATGGTACGAGTTCCAGGTGCCTACATGGGATCTCTTGGCGGTGCAGCCGTCAGACATGGCTGAGCCGTTGCAGGGGAGCCGTGAGCTGCGCAGTGTTGTCACTGGCACATGAAATACTGTGTTCTGACCAGGTTTCTGCTCTCCCCCAAATGTTTCCCTGCTGTGGGGGCTGAGGGAAGAGGTAGGGTTAGTGACACTCAACAGAGAGAAACCATTTGAGACATGAAATTGCCAAGAGTTGACTGCTTTTGAACACACAAAAATGGCGATTTCATATGGTTCCTTCTAATGCTTGCATATAGGTGTTGTAAATGAAATTATTTCTTTTCATCCTCACAATAACTGAAGAGGTACTGATTTTATGCCCATTTCCTGTGAGATAACTGAGGCTCAGAGAGGATTGGTGAAGCCGTTAAGTGAAGATTCAGTCTCGAGTTACCTTGTCATGTGCAGTAATGACATTTGAATCTCTTTTGAAAGGACTAAAACAATACTATTTACTCCCCAGGGGAACATATTTTGTGATGACATTTGCTAAACAATATGTTGAAATTTTGCAACCAGTTCATCATTGGTCTCAGGACCCCTTTATACTAAAAAAAGAATGAGGACCCCCCACAGACCACTTCTCTGTATGACTGTGATATTTACCATTTTAGAAACTAAAACTGGGACGCTAAGAGTATTGATGTATTAATTCATTAAAATAACAATGATAAATTCATTATGTAGTAACTCTTTTTGTTTAAAAAATAACATTTGTCAACAGAAAATAATACCGGTGAGAGGAAGGGTGTGGTTCTACATGTTTACAATTCCGTATATGAATTAAGAGGACTGGATTCTCACATCTGCTTCTGCATTGGATCAGCTGCCATGCCAAAGCCATGTAGCCTCTGGCAAAGTCTCCCGAACACCCTTGTTAGAACGAGAATGAAAAACCCAGCAGTTCTTTAGTATTCGCTTGAAAGTGGTTTGGGCCTTCTAAAATCCCGGAAAGGCGTTTAATCCTCTCGCTTGTTTTCCAGAAGAGCCGTCCCAAAGACATACAGCTCACAAAAAATACCCAGGTAAGAGAAGAACCATTGTTGCTTTGCAGAGTCCTAACAAGGACAACGGGCATTCTCGGGTGGACAAGAAAACTAAAGGCCAGGGACTCTCAGGAGCACTATCATTTGAAGCTGCTGAGAAGGGAGGGACATGGCCAGTGCTTTATGCCATCAGAGGACACTCTGGGGTTGTGGGAGTGGGACACCAAGAGATTTCTGTCCTGAAAGTCTCTCCAGCCTGGGCAGCCCTCCGGTTGGTATCTGACCTGGATGGGAGCCCTCTCAGGCTGCAGGCTGGAGGGTGGAGGAGCTGCTAGACTGGTGACTGAGAGGGCCTGCGGCAACCACTCAGGGATGTCTCACAGGAGACAAAATAGAAGCTGGGATTGGAAAACAATGTAAAAGGCCTGTTGTCTGATTGGGGGAGGGGGGGTGCGGAGGAGTGAACAGATGAGAACTCCTTGTGTTGTCACAGTGGGCGCTTCTATACCTCTAGACCTAAATCCAAAGACTCAACCAGGTTGCAACTCAACTTTCCAGCCTTGCCTTAATGCGTCTGTGAACAGGCAGACAAGTCCTGGCATCCCAGGAGGTATGAGTCGAGAGGCATTCACAGCAAATGTGGTTGCGTGGTAAACACCAAACATCAGAACCTGGGACTGGAGAGACTTTCATTCACAGAACTGGAAAATATGGCTGACACTGTCATTCCATTCAGTTATCCATTGCTCCGTCCACCCAACAATTCCATCATCTATCCATTCATCATCCATTTAGTAATTTATTCAATCATGCATCCATTTATCTATATCCATCCACCAATCTTTTCATCCAATAATTGATTTAATCCCTCCATGCATCTATCACATCTTGATTAAGCATGTATATTCATTCTTTATTCCATTCTTCATTCGGTGCTGGAAGTTGGGCTACGTCTGTGAACATGGCAGACCAGTGCCTGCCATCGTGCAGCTAATGTCAAACAGGACATTCAACCAATAAGCCACGTGGGTGTTTAGTGACAGCAGGTGTGAGACTCCTGGAAGCAACTCAGCCGTCAGTGCAGCTGGAGCGTTTAGTGAGCGAGGGGGAGAGGGGCAGCAGATGAGGCCAGAATTGTGGGCAGGGCCAGGACACACCGTGGGTGAGGAAAGGGGAGGGACTATGGGGGGGGGGGGGGGCTGTGTACCTCGTTTGTGGGAAAAGGGGAGACAGTCAGGCTGGTGTATCTGGACTTAACTTAGCAGTGATTGGTGAGTCTTTGAGCAGGAATCGACACGCCTGTCCTGGCAGAGCCCTGTTCTTTTTGCAGAGGGAGACACCAAGAACGTGGCAGAACATGGAAAAGGGCGACGGAGGCACATGCAATAAAGTGGCGACGGGTAGGTGGGAGCCGGTGGCAGGGAGGGGGGATTTACGCAGCCAGCTGTCCTAGGTGGCTTTCACCCCAAAGTTGGCCGGTGGGAGGGCAAGAGTGGGGCTTCCCCTGCGGGTAGAACTTTAAACTCCCTCATAATTTCAAAGTAAACAGATGAGAACTGTGTGTTGTTACAGCGGGCGTTTCTATACCCTCCACACCTGCATCCAAAGACTCACCTAGGTTGTAACTTACCTTTCCAGTCCTTTGCCTTAAGTAGGGGTGTCGAACTCAATCAGAGAAGGGGCCAAAATCTAAAATCCAGCCTAAATCGCGGGCCGAATGGTTTACTGAACAGTCATAAACTGTCATTGTGATGGAAACGCAGCGGAGTGCAGTGATGACAGCGCGGTGCGGGCCACATTGCAAGGCCTGGCGGGACGGATTTGGCCCGCGGGCCTTGTGTTTGACACATGTGCCTTAATGCATCCAACAGGCAGACAAGTCCTCCATTGTCCCATGACATCTGTCCCTCCCTCTGGCACACGATGCTTTCGAGGGCCAGCTCTATGATAGGCAGGGGCTCAACAGTCATGCACGGCACCTGCAGTGGGCTGGGAGCTATGGGGGTGACGCAGTGAAGAGAACAGACAGAGTTCCTGCTGTCGTGTGTGTGTGTGTGTGTGTGTGTGTGTGTGTGTATCTCCTACATCCTTCAGTAGGAGACTGAACAAGTCAACAAGTAAGCCAGCAAGAGAGTGACAGGCTGCAACGAGGAGTGTGAAGGAAGCGGACAGGCGATGTGGTGCAGAGTACCGAGCCTGGGCTGGGAGCTGCTTCAGACAGGGTCGGGGGTCACGGAAAGCTGGGAAAGGAGTGGACATCTGAGCCAGCCAAGACTTGAGAGGAGGAGGTGCTGCGGTCGTTGGAAGACCTGGAGAATGGGCACCTAGGCAAATAGAGCCGGAAGAAGAAACGCCCTGATGCGGGAAAGATCTTGGCTTAAGCAGCGACAGCCTTTGTCATCTCAGGGCACACACACACTCATCACTGAAATTCTGTGGCACACCACAAATATATTATATTGTTGCCGATCTGACAAAGAAAAACACACACCAGGTATCATGTTGTTTCACTCACACTGGCTGGTTATTGTTGTGTTGGCTGTAGTCATTTTAAAAAATACATATGTTTTATTGATTTTTAGAGAGAGAGGAAGGGCAAGGGAGAGATAGAAGCATTGATAGAGGGAAATACAGATCGGCTGCCTCCTGCACAGCCCCACTGGGGGTCGAACCCAGGCATGTGCCCTGATCAGGAATCGAACTGGCGACCTCTTAGTTCTTAGGTCAACACTCAATCACTGAGCCACACCGACTGGGCTGTAGTCATTTTTTTATTTAACAATCGAAGGGAAAGGTGGTCAGGACCTACCTGTACCTAAACAGTTGGGCATTGCATATCTTAAAAATCCTTCTGGCACCCCGGAGTGCCACAGCACGGTGATTAGAAATCACTGGCTTAGCGGAGTCACAAGGAAGCACGAAGTGGGAACAGAATGTCCTGAGGAGGCCAGCCCGGAGGTCTGGTTAGGCACAGGCTCTGCTCTCAGACATAGGTGAACACAAGGATTCTGGGACCCCAACACCTGGAGGGGTCTCAGCAGGTAAAACCTAATACCCACCATCCCCTGTGAAAGCTGAACATGGACACAAGGCCAACAAAAGCCCTTGGAAGCAGGCAGTTTCCCCAGCATGTCCTTGGAAGGCATCAGATTTCAGATTCCAGAGCGTTCTGCTGGGAGACCTCCTGGAAAATCTAGAGCCGGTGGGGACTGACACGGAAGTCTATTACCTGCCGATGACAGGAACAGTCCGTCCCTGCAGCGGCTCTGACCCATCGCGGGCTGTGACCCTTACACATGCACGTGCCAGGGGCCAGGCGGGAAGGACAGATTGTGAGAGGCCGCTTGGGTGGCTTCTGGGAGCCAACACACCTAGCTTCAAACTCTTGCTCTGCCACCACATGACCTAGGCAATGACTTCAACTCTCCAGCCTCAGTTTCCTCACCTATAAAATGGGAATGATGGGAGGGAGGTGTTAGGAACTAAGTAAGGTGGTTCCTGCAGGGACGTCTCAGTGAGTTAAGAATTTAGTCTCAGCAGAGGCTAGCACCGTTCTGGTGTCCGGTGGGGAAGGAGGAAGAGGAGGACACGGATTTGTGATCCCACGTATTGCCTACCAGGGGTCTTCAAACTACGGCTCGCGGGCCACATGCGGCCCACAGAGGAGTCTGATCCGACCCGCCAGGTTTTTTGGGCAGTGAGCGCAGCCGAGGTGTTACAGTAGGAATTAGTAGTTCATATAGTCCGGCCCTCCAGCTCTCTGAGGGACCGTGATCTGGCCCCCACTTTAAAAAGTTTGAGGACGCCTGGGCCTAAGCAGTGGCTCATATTCATTTCTTCTTTGCTTCCCTTTCAGCTAATCTGAAAGGACATTCCTCACTTTCTGCTAAGCCTTGGACATTGTTGTATAAGAATGCTTTGGCCCTCAGAGGTCATGCCCAGCTCAGCAGAGCATAACCCCGGAGATGCCGAGAGGCGGGATACAGGCTTCATCACCCGGCTGGGTGACGGTGGGAGCCGCAGACCAGCGCCGGGTCCTGCTCTGTCGCCTTGGAAACGCCTGGATCTCACTGGGCCCTGCGGCTCCACAGACACTACCTGGGAAGAAGGCGCTGCCTTGTGAGCACATGCGAAGCTCTTTCTAAGTCAGAGCTCCGTGCTGTGTCATTTACAGCCTCCGTCCAGGTCCGACTCTGGTGGGCACGCACCCCGCCTCCCACAGTCTCAGAAGATAGCCACGTTCTCCCACGTTCTCCCAGTACATTCGCTCATCACAAAATGAAGATGAATGTACCTATTCATGCGTAATTCATCACCTTAACCATCGAATGGTCTTAAATCTGACTGGGGCTGAAGCCACTGGCTCCTGGTGGGGGGAGAGGGAGGGTGGGTTTGCTGGGAGACAGTTCAGCCCTGCTTTCCGGCCACGTGTGGGCTGTTTTCGTTAAGATTTCTCTGAATTGGGTCCTGGGAGGAGGATTTGGTGAAAGTGACATATTATGGAAGTTTCTGGGGAAAACGGGCGCAGGTGGAGAAGTGGGACAGGAGGGAAGAAGGTCAGACGAGGGGAGGTGTCAGGGTGCTGCAGAGGTCACTGGTGCCAACCCTGGAGGTCCCACCAGGCCAGCTCCTGGGCAGGAACCCGTGAGGCCACTCAGAGGCCCTGAGTTTGGTATAATGAATTCTTGACAATTGTTGAGCCAGAGGCCTACATGTTCATTCTGCAGGCGATCCGTGGAATCTGCCCATCGGGGGGAGGGGTGTCGAGTATGTACCAGGCTTCCAGTATCTCCATGAACGGGCAGGGTCACCCTTGGGAGGGGCTGTCAACTCCAGGGGCAGCCCCCCTCCTGGGCACACAGGGCCCCGAGGGCATCTGTTACACAATTCAAATTTCAACAGCATCTGCTCAAAACAGAGATATATATGCTCATAGGTTTATGGGGGTACTGATTGAATTCAGCCCATAACCTGCTTTAAAAACAAGTTGCGGTGATTGGTGTTGATGAATTGTTTGGCAGGCTTCAACCTTTTAAATTCCAAATGTGGAGGTAATGCCTGAGGACACATATTTTAAAAACAAGCCACCCTCCTGTCCCCTGTCTTCCCCCCACCCCCCGCACGCTCCCACCCAGGCACACTATCCACGCTCTCTTAGAAAACAGTCCAGGTCCCGTTTAACGTATATGTATCAGCAGCATTGGAGTAGAGTATTACAGTTTATCTCCTAGGAAGCACAAATTACAGGAAGCCCTTTGGGAATGATTGTAGGAAGAAAAAAAGCCAACACTTTGGGGAAGCCATTAATTGTCAACGTCAGATTGCGTCTCATCCTCAGGTCATTCACCTGTATTCTTTGCTTTTTAAAAACTAATTTTTAAAAGCCTTTTATCTGAAACAATGGAGCACTTATGAGATGGGCAAGGAAACAAACAGGGAGCCCATCCCCAACGGTGACACCTTGCGTAACCACAGGACAGGCTCACACCAGGAAGCTGGAAGCTGGGGGGGGGGGGGGGGGGGGGGGAGCTGGCAGAGCAGCCCCTGACAGCCAGGGCCCCTCCTCCCATTGTCTCATGGACCGCAGGAGGCCAGTCCCCTTGCTCCCAACGCCAACGCCCCTTCTGGAGTTTTCTTGTTTGCCACACAAGACCTCCTGTATTGAAGAGACAAAAGAAGCCATGGCCACCACCTCTGAGGCTGTCTGAGGACTGTTTCCCAGCAGTAGGGGTGGGGGGCCAGCTTTTGAGAGGGCATGGTCCCCCCTAACAGGGCCCAGGAGCAGGGGCACCAGGAAGACGGGAAAGCAGAGCAGACAGGCCCCTGGGCTGCTCGGGCCCTGCCTGCGGGGAAACAAAGGGCTTCTCTGAGGCCGGAAAAGTGACTGCCCCCCACCCCCAGGCACCTGGCTACAGGCAGGGCCTGCCTGGGGGCTCCCCCTGAAGCAGCTTTTCTACAGGAAGGAACAATGACACAGTTGTCCCAAATTCCGCTCTGTTCCTTGGGTAAACGGACAGGTACAGTCTTTCCTGGGGCCATTTGCCATCTGAGCTGCCAGGATTAACAAAGTGCCTGATCCCAAGTCTTTTTCTAGAACATTCCCACCCAGGTCAGCAAGGCAGTCTAAAGGGAAGCTGCAAAGAGAAAAGTGCAGGATAAATCCCATCTTATAACCCCAGGGAAGGTCCCTTGCTTCCACCAGGGAGCAGGTGAATAGGCCCTGGGTGGGAGGTGCCCAGCCCCCGAACAGACTCCTCCCTGCAGGCACCTGTCTACTTGAAATTCAGCTGGTTGAGTGTTGAGGCTGCTGACGTCTAAGCCCCTGGAAAAAAAGATACCTGCTGTCTGGAGGAGACACATGGTGTGTGGGCCATCACGGGCGCCCTGGGAAGTGTGAGGGTAACGCCATGCACGCGCCCTGGGTACCCAGTCAGGGTGAGAAGTCAGGGAGGGCTTCTCAGGGGAGGTGCTGTCTGAGCTAAGTTTCCCAGTGTGAGTTTCCCAGTGGCTGCCACCCAAATGACCAGAACTGGGCCACTTTAGACAACAGGGACAAACTTATGCTCCCGCAGTGCTGGAGGCCAGAGGTCCAAAATCAAGGTGTCACCAGGGTTAGCACCTTCTGAGGGCTCTGAGGGAGAAGCTGTCCGAGCTTCTGTCCCAGCGCCTGAGTGGCTGCATGGCATTGCTTGGTTTGCAGATGCATCACTCCAATTCCCACCACCACCTTCCCACGGCCTTTCCCTCTGAGTCTGTGTTTCACATCCCCTTCTCCTTGCTTTTATTGTATAAGGGTACTTGTTGGATGTAGGGCCCATCCCAAATCCAGGCTGACCTTATCTCAAGATCCTTAACTGAGCTGAAACCAGTTTGGCTCAGCGGATAGAGCGTCAGCCTGCAGACCGAAAGGTCCCAGGTTTGATTCCAGTCAAGGGCATGTACCTCCATTGTGGATACATCCCCAGTAGGGGGTGTGCAGGAGGCAGCTGGTTGATGTTTCTCTCCCATCGATGTTTCTAGCTCTCTGTTCCTCTCTCTAAAAAAATCAATAAGATATATATATATATATATATATATATATATATATATATATATATATATTAATCCTTAACTGAGGTACATCTGCAAAGACCCAACTTCCAAAGAAGGTCACACTCACAGGTCTGGGCTCTGAGGGTGAGGATGTGGACTTATCCTTTGAGAGGCACAAATCAATCCACAGCAGGGAGCAGTTGCTAAGTTAGGTGGTGTGAGGAGAGGGAGGGCATCCCAGGCAGAGGGCACAGTGTGTGCAAAGGCACAGACTAGAGAAGTTCAAGGAACTGCATACACGTCGTTGAGCACAGCCGGAGGAGGGGGCCACTCTGGGAGTGGGGACATAAAGGTAGAAAGTTAAGCAGGTGCCAGCCAACTCACATCCTGAAACCAATATGGAAACACTGAAGAGTTTACCTGGGTTATTATCTGAGTCTCCCCTCATCTCTGAGAGGCCAGTGTTGTGATCCAGATGAAGACTTAAATGACAGGATTTGAACTCAGGCCGCTTCTAACTTTTTAGTGGATGGATGAAGGCAGCAAGGTTTTGTGTGCCCGAGGAAGACGGGAAATGGTGTATCTAGGAAGGAGGGAGGGGACATTCGTGGAATCTTGCTGAGACCATGTGCCAGCTCACTGCCCCATCTGAGTATGTCTCCCTAATGCTGGGCCTGGGAGTCCCAGGTTGGTGCTCTGAGAACCACCTCCTTGGCCAAAGTTAATTGGTACAGAAACAGACACCTGCCTCAAGCTAGGCCAATCAGAAACCGCCCCCCACCCCCACCCCCCAGGAACATGCTCCTAAGTCTTTTTTTTTTTTTTTTAATATATTTTATTGATTTTTTTTTATCAAGAGGAAGAGAGAGAGTTAGAGAGTTAGAAACATTGATGAGAGAGAATCATCCATCAGCTGCCTCATTGCACACCTCTTACTGGGGATGTGCCCACAACCAAGGTACATGCCCTTGAACGGAATCAAATCAGTCCGCAGACCGACGCTCTGTCCACTGAGCCAAACCGGTTTCAGCTACTCCTGAGTCTTTTTGACTTGAGAAGTTAATGTGATTGGGGACTAGGACACCCTTCAAATCCTGCTCTTATTTCAAATGTGTGCTTTCAGGCAGTTTCTTGAAACCTCATGCTTCACTTTTCTTCTCTGGAATTTGGAATGATGAAAACAGCTCTTCCTCCATGGCTACCAAGGGATGACATGAAATCCTGGTGGTGAAGCCTTGTGCCTAAGCTGCAAGGGTGGGGAATGTTCGGCCCGAGGGCTGTTTAAGGCCCACAAAATAATTTGATCTGGGGTGAGCTAATTAAATGTTTGACCTATTGTAATATAGCAGGTTAATTTTTAAATTGGCAATTTTGTATGGCCCGTAAATGATGTTATAAGCATCCAAATGGCCCTTGGCAGAAAAATAGTTCCCCACCACTGGAAAGACCTGGCACACAGGAAGTGCTGGGCAGACATTAGCAGGCTCTGCTGGTTGAATGAACAGAAGTGATGGACTCAGACTGTGTGGAGGCTACTTCCTGCTGTGTATATGAAGAAGGAGGAGGAGGAGGGCAAGGAGGAAGAGGAGGGGAGGAGGAGGAAGAGGAGGGAAGGAGGAGAAAGAATGAGGGGGAGAGAGAGAGAAAAAAAACAGAGAGAGAGAGAGAGAGAGAGAGAGAGAGAGAGAGAGAGAGAGAGAGAGAGAGAGAGAGAGAGAGAGAGAGAGAGAGAGAGAGAGAGAGAAGCCACCGGGGCTCTTGACAGCTTTCCAGGACTTGCTTCCAGTTGATATGAGACTTGGCTGCCCTCCTTCATGGTCCCATCGCCAGCGCCCCTGACTTTGGCTTAGGCAAACATAATGAGTTTCTGTTAGCTGCAATCAAAACCAAGCAAAAAGCACCTGGATGGGGACAGTTTGGCAACCGCCTTTGAACTGGATGCCAGGGTTCCTGCCCCAGACTTGATTACCAGGCAAAGAGACCCCAACAGGTCCAAGCCACCATGCGTGGCGACCGGCGGAGCTCCTCAGCCGCCACCCAGCCCATGACTGCCCGAGGCCTCACACTCAGGGCACACGCATGACCTATCTGCTCCACATTCCACACCAACCCCCTTGCTGCCAGACAGGCAGGCTCCTGGCTGGCTCCGCTCTCCACCCAGGAACCCGTTGAGCAGGTGCCTGAGATGAGTGAGTCGCCTGCCCATTGGGCACTGCCCTGGCCAAGCCTGGGTCGGAGAATGCAGAGAGCGGAGTAC